GGATGTGATTCAAGGCCAGGCTGGATGGGGCTTCGAGCAACTTGGTCTAGCAGATGTCCCTGCCTACAGCAGGAGGCTGGAACTAGATGATCTTAAAGGTCTCTTCCAAACCAAACCATTCTATGATCTGTGGTAGTAAAGTGTCCTGCCCAAGCTGTCTTGGCAGGTCAGCTGCTAAATGAAGACCACAGTCACAGAACCACAGAATCATAGAATCATCAAGGCTGGAAAAGACCTCCAAGATTATCTAGTCCACCTACCACCAATATTTCTCCACTAAAGTATGTCCCTCAGCACAACAGCTAAACGTTTCTTGAACACTTGCAGGGACGATGACTCCACCACCTTCTGAAGGATTCTGAAGTGTTTCACGTTAAGTTAGCTGCAGGTTTAAATGGGAAAATATTTTACCACTTGAGGGAGCTGTAGCACAGCAAACCCATGCAGACTTGTGAGTGTGTCACATAAGTGCATAATGAGAAAATCCAGCCCAGGGAGAAAACAATTTCTCTATGGCCTTTAGGAAATTTTACATTTTTAGTGTACTTACTTGCATAAAATTTGGCAAAATAAACTCCCCAACAACAAACAAACAAACAAAAAAAACCCCAAACATCCTGTGTCCCCAAAGGTGCCTGGTCATAGGCTGGAGGGATGGCTTTAATCCCTCATCCAGTCTTTGTGCCACACACAGTTTTTTTCATCTGACATTTAAAAAATTCAGAATTTTACTGCTTTCCTACTTGATTTAATTCTATTTGGCAAATTGTTGCTGAACAAACATTGGTAAAATTAACTGAATACATACTCAGTCAGCAGAGTTCTGTGGTCTTCCTTGTTCTCAGAAGAAATTCAAGAAAAAGGTGCATATGCAATAACATTCTTTTTCTGAATTTATGAAATGCATAATAATTGTTCTTGTAGAGCTGCAAGAACAAAAGGATGAATGATATCATAATTCAGTGCAGTACAAAATAAGCATCCCCATCTCTCCTACAACTACACAAGGCATTTCCATTCTACTTAACTTCAGCAAAGTATGAGAACATCCATCTGAATTCCAAGTGAAGGTAGAAACAGGCTTGCATTTTTAACTACGCTCTGTAATACTGAACTGCCGAGGTCCTTTCTTACCAAATCATAACCATCTCTCATACTTGAATGCATGGCGCAATGAGTCACTGTGTGTACAAGAATTGGCAATGGTGATCAATAGAGATCTAACAAGTCAGTTTGCTCTTAAAGGGAAAACAAACAAAAAAAGTAGGCTACTTCAAGTTTGAAATACAGTCATCCTAAAACATCGTGCAGAATCAGAAGTTTTTAAAAATGAAAATCACTGCATGGGGAAAAACAAACAAACAAACCAGTCTGAGAGGTTTTCTGCTAACTAATCATAGAATCATCATAGAATCATAGAATGGCCTGGGTTGAAAAGGACCACAATGATCATCTAGTTTCAACCCCCCTGCTGTGTGCAGGGTCACCAACCACCAGACCAGGCTGCCCAGAGCCACATCCAGCCTGGCCTTGAATGCCTCCAGGGATGGGGCATCCACAACCTCTCTGGGCAGCCTGTTCCAGTGCGTCACCACCCTCTGAGTAAAAGACTTCCTCCTAATATCTAACCTACACCTCCCCTGTCTCAGTTTAAAAACTAAGGAGCTAACCCTTGGGAAAAAAATCCACCCTCTCCAAAAATATTTGGGGTAAGTGCCTTGCTTCAGCTATACATCTCCACAGATTCAAAACTATAGTCTACCTTTTCTTAGTGCAGCCAACTTCTACTGAGAAACCAAGACAAAATAAAAATGCACCCAAGAAAGTATAGAGAATGTCTTGGAAAGGTAGAGCAGGCACAGCATCAATCTTCTCCTTTATCCCTACCTGAGATGCAGATGATTTTTCCTCAAAGAATTCTATGCAGTTGGAAGAAAACCCAGATTATAGCCAAGGCAAAGATCAGAAACAATCGAGTGTTCCTAACAGTGTAACAGATTTTCTCAAAAAATATGGTCGGTGTTACAGCTGAGATGGTGCATAGCACAGTCCTGAAAAAACAACCAGATTTCTTGCCTTGGGCACCTAAATTCCTTATACATACACACACACACACAAAGAAAAAGATCAAATGCCATTTTAAACTCAAAGCCTAAGAGAAAATTGGGGAATTTTCATAGCTGGCCTTGAAACCCAAAAACATTTCTGCATCCCTTCTTATGTGGGAGAACAGATTTCAAAGATTTTTGCAATAAATCATATTCCAGGGCTTTGAAATGAAAGCAGAAATCAGAGCTCTTCCTGCCCCTCAGCAGAACTGCCTTCTACCCAACCACAAAGACGTACAAATTTTATAGGAATCCACCTTCAGTGCACAGCCACATGAATACAGCAGAGTTAATACAATGAACCCCCCGTTCTCACTCCCCTCCTCCTCCGCCCCGGGCCCCACCGCCTCCTTCAGCCTCACCCCGGGGCAACACCGGCAAGCAGAGTGCCGTGCCGCTGGAGAACACGCAGCACTACGAACCCCACACCCCGTTACCTCCGCGCTGGGCCTCAACGCGCCGCAGCCCTCCCCGCCTCCCGGGCAGCGCTGCGTTCCGCCGCGTCTGCGAGCGGCGCTCGGCTGTGGGCAGCGCGGCCTGCTGCCGGCGGGATCCGGGGCTGGCTAGGCCGCGAGCTTTCCTCTGTCGTATGCGTTGTACACAGAGAATTCACAGTGGTTCTGGGAAAGATGCGTCTTTCTGGCACGCTTACAGATGCATGATGGGCTTCATTCTCGATGACAGCGAAAACTCGTACGATTTGTACGTAGATGCGCTCGGTTCTATTCGCTGACGTGGCCCGTGCTGCCCTCTGCTGACAAGAAAGGATCCTGCCTCGTACCAAGGGCGCTTCCAGGCACACTCTCGCTAAGTGCTTAAGGGACGCCACGCTGTTGCTGTGGTCACTCCATTCCGAGTATTACACACAGCTGGTTACGGAGTTGAGGTCGGACTTCCTTTTTTGCATTGTTTTTGTGGCTCATGCAGCAACAAAGCGTGGGACAAAGCCTATCCCAACGAGTCCAAAGCTTTACAGAGGAGAAGACAGGCAGCACAGCTTTTCAGAACTGGCCCAGACTCACTTCAGCAGGGAAGACACAAGGAGAATGACTTGCCCCTTGTGATAAGTCTTCCCAGGATGGAGATCAGAACAAAGGAGGCCATGATTTGAGGCAGGTTTCTCACTCACAGCCTTCTCCATTAAACCATCTTTGCTCTAATGAATGGTTGTTCTGGAGACAAAAGGGCCTGGAGCACCTCTCTTAGAAGGAAAGGCTGAGTGACCTGGGTCAGTTCAGCTTTGAGAAAAGAAGAGAGAGAGGGGATCTGATCAATGTCTATGAATACCTCAAGTGCAGGAGGCAAAGGGATGAGGCCAGGCTCTTTTCAGCAAGGTGTGGTGATAGGACAAGGGGAAACGGCCACAAACTGCAGCATAGGAAGTTCCATTCAAATGTGCATAAGAACTTCTTTGCAGTGAGGGTGACGGAGCACTGGACCAGGTTGCCGAGACAAGTTGTGGATTCTCCTGCCCTGGAGATGTTCAAGAGCCACCTGGATGCCTACCTGTGCAACCAGTCTGGGGAGACTGCTTTGGCAGGGAGGTTGGACTAAATGATCTCCAGAGGTCCACTCTAGCCCCTACAATTCTGTGATTCTGTCATAAAGCTTTCTCAGTTACTCCTGAAGTAAACCAAAAGATGAACATGATATACTTGTTATATTCCTGTACTTGTGTAAAGGTACGTATACATATATTTGTATTTTTTGCAGGATGTTCCAGGATAAAATCAGTGCTACTGTAACAGCTTGCTTTCCTTGAGATTTCAATGTTGGCTGTGCTAAGTATCTACTTCTCTAAGAAGAACAGACTTCTAGTCAGCAAGGTGAGATACTCTGCCAGCTGATAAATTGTTAAATATCCACAGAAATAGCTGGAAAATGTTGGTTAGACAATTGCTGAACAGTTCATCCATGCCATCAAACCAGAAACCTGGAAAATTGCCACCATGATTACTTTGTTTATTAACTTATATGTACATTTAGGAGTTTGCAGTTCCTTTTCTCAGAAAACAGAGCAATAATAGAATCATAGAACAACGCAGTTCCTTTTGCTGAAATGAAAATTTGAACTTTCCGAAATCTTGCGTACAGGAAATGGGAGCAGCAGTTTCCAATGAAGTGGAATTGGGGAGATTATATCATTCCTGAAGACCTAAAAGAGAACTGGCAAGTGGTCACTCGCTAGAAGTGCTTCTAGTGGGGAAGGCAAACTCAAGTTCTGCTCTTGGTAACGATAGTGTAGACCAAAGTGTTCCTAGTGAAATCAGAAGAGTACAAAATGTGGCTGAGAACAGCTATACAAGCTGTTTGTGGCTGAGAACAGAATCTGTCTTCATATTTTCAGCAGAAAGCTGAAGCACCAAAGTTGTGATAAATGGTGAAAAACGTGCCCTTGCTTCCTGACTGAAAACCAAGAAATGGCAGAATTACAAATATTGATACAAGAGATACCATTAATCACATAGAGAATTGTAATCTTCACTATTATTATTAATACCTCTTACAGCATGTTCTGTAGGTTTGCAAAGCGTTGAATTGGCTGTAGTGTACTTTTGTATTAAATCTCTCTGATATTAGGACTGTAAAAGCCAAATGGGAGGTGGCAAAAGTTCAGACACTCTTCCTTCTCATAGCCGAATCAATTGGTTTGTTCAGAATTATGGAACAGCCTCTAACATCTGATTCGAGCATTTCCTGCCTCGGAAGAATTCAATCACATTATTCTTGGAAATCTAGAAAGCAAAGGATGATTAGTTATGGCTCTGACCGGTTAAGGACTTCCTCCCCAAGATGGGCTGCTGTGATGGAAATGATGTTCCTTGAGTAACAGACCAACAGCAAAAAGCACAGAGACCAGCACTGCAAACTGGTGAAGCTGCTTGTGTGGAGGGCTTCTATCACAATATTCTGCAGTGGTTTTAAAGGTTTGTTTCCGACTGCTTGAGTTTCCATGTGCATCCTGAATGGCCAATATGTTCATCCCTCAGTCTGTCACTGGCAGGAGATGTTATGTGACAAGAAACTGGATAGGAGCAAGCAGGGTGCGCTTGCAGCCTGGAAAGCCAACTGTGTTCTGGGCTGCATTAAAACAGGGGAGGCCAGCAAGGAAAGAGAGATGGCAGTCCTCCTCTACTCAGCTCTTGCGAGGCCCTGTCTGGAGTACTACATCCAAGGCCTGGGGCCCCCAGCACAAGAAATATGCAGAGCTCTTCTATCAGGTCCAGAGGAGGGCGCTAAGATGATCAGAGGACTGGAACACATCTCCTATGAGGAAAGGTTGAGGAGACTGGGCTTGTTTAGCTGGAGAAGAGAAGGCTCTGAAGAGACCTCACTGTGCCCTTCCAGCTCTGGAATGGAGCATACAAACAGGAGAGGGAACAACATTTTACATGGGTGGATATGATAGGACAAGGGGGGATGGTTTTCAACTAAGACAAAGGAGATTTAGGGTAGATATGAGGAGGAAGTTTTTCATTCCGAGGGTGGTGACACACTGGACCAGGCTGCCCAGAGAGGTTGTGGATGCCCCATCCCTGGAGACATTCAAGGCCAGGCTGGATGTGGCTCTGGGCAGCCTGGTCTGGTGGTTGGGGACCCTGCACATAGCAGGGGGGTTGAAACTACATGATCATTGTGGTCCTTTTCAACCCAGGCCATTCTGTGTTTCTATGATTCTGTGACATGTCTCTGCAACTGCATCTGTCTCTCAAATACAACAGATACCAGCCAGATGAGGCATATGTCTCCTGACGGGGAAACGTAAATAAAAAAGAAGACTTTTAACTTTGCGTGCAACTCAAGTAGAAGTATGCAGTTATATCTATCCCAACATAAAGCTCTCAAAATCATTTCCATCTTGTGTAGAATGCAGCTGGGATAGCATGAAAAGCAGAACACAATACTTTAAAAATGGCTTATTTAGTAATTTAATTGATTGATTGGGATACCAAGTCTTGGAGTACAAATCTGGTCAGAGAGCAGTAAAAGGGGGCAGGCAGAAGAATATACTCCACAACTTGAGACTCTCCTTTTTCTAGTGAGACGTGGAAAAGAATAAGACAGTTTTGCCTTCAACGCTGGAGCCGGTAGAAGAATGAAGTGAAAGACAAAGAGGTAGAGGAAGAGAGAGAGAGAGGAGAAGGAGAAGGAGAAGAAGAAGAAGGAGAAGGAGAAGGAGAAGGAGAAGGAGAAGGAGAAGGAGAAG